TCCGGCGGTGCAGGGTCCGGAGGCATGGGGGCTGCCTGAAGCCGGTAGCGCTCGGGAAGCTTGGCTCTTAAACAGAGCCGAAGAGTCAGGGGAGGAGTAGAGCCGCCATTCTCCCAGACATGTTCGGCTTTTTGGCAGTTCCCCCCGGACGGGGGTTTGAGTGCCGAAAAGCTGGACATGTCCGGGAAAAAGAGGACGTATGGTAACCCTAACACTGTACAGGAGAGAAAATGTACTATTTCAGCCACCCTCCTTTGTGTGTAATGGTTCAGGTGACTGTTCCTTTCTCACGTTTTTACAGAAAGTATTTGAGTCAAATCAGAACTACTTAGTGGAACTGCACCACTTTACATCAAGGGTCCATTGCTCTAACTGAAGTGATTCCTGGGATGTAATGAAGTTCTCTCATTCAATTTTAGTGAGAGGAACAAGCCCCAGGTCTTAATAGGATCCCTTTTGATTATTACTTATTTATTTTTCACTGACCGATGACACTTCTTCCCAGATTGTTTTGAAATTGGTAAAAGTTTGGGTTTATGATACAATGTTCTTTTTGCAAAAACATTTTTTTAAATTAAAAAATACTTCTGAGTTAAAAGGATTAATTAAGGGTGTCTCTCATTCTGACTAGTGCTTTAACTTCAGAACAATGATAGGTTCATTTTATGTTGCCTTTCAAGCAATATTACCCCTCACAAAAAATGAATGAAGCACCATAAAGCAGCAGTCACTATAATTTGAAATATAGGTTAGTCGAAATGCCTAAGAGCAATGATATCTGGCAGGTTCATACTGTATGACAATCACATTAACAGCTGTCAAGGATGGGTTTTATTTCAGTTGTCCTTCTAATATCGGATAAACAAAGCACAGGTTTTTACATATACCACCTCTCTTTTTTCATGAAGGCGATAAATTATAATTACAGTTTGCTTTAATTTACAACCTCACCTTTAAAAACAAATGGAACAAAAACCTTTGGTCTAGAGGAAATCAATTATGTGATAAGAGAAAGTAGGCCAACAAAACACCCCAAAACAATATAAACTAAGCTTCTCCCTTTTAATGGTTTTACATATAGTGGGCCCAGCCTACATTCCTTGCCTACACAAAACTCTCATTGCAACTAATAAGACTATTGCGCGTCTTTGAAATGCAGGATTAGACAAAAAGACAGTAATTGTGGGGTTTTGATTTATGCATATGAGTGTGTTTCAGATATACCAGACACACACACATTCACATCATATTTTTAGTTTCTTCCCCAGATGATTGATACTCATTTTCCCCTCAAGACTTAATTTTAAAATGTTACTGCTGCAATCTACCAGCAGGATTATTAATCAATGCCATATTTAACAAAGTCTGGCTTATTGTTAAAGCAGCATCCCTACCAGGGCATTGCACACTACTGCAATGGCTGTAACCATAAGATAAAATCAACCCCTCCCCTCCCAATATTTCATTCAAAATGAACATCTAGCAGAATTAAAATGCAAATACTCACATTCCAACTGTCCCTGTCCAGGCAGGAAAGTCTCTACATTTCAGGAGAATACTCTGACTATGTTTCTGCTTCAAAATCTCCCCTAGCCCAATGAATTTCAATAAGAGTTAAAAGATGTATCCTTATTTTACTACCACAATGGCCCTATTTATAGCTTTCAAATGTTGGCGGGAGTGATAGAAATTGAAATCGGAACTCAAATTACAAATGAAAGCGGGGGGCGGGGGGGCGGGCAGGGGCCATTTGGGGGGCCCACCTTTGTGCAGTGACAGTGGGGGACGAAGAAGGGCCCCTCTCCCGGACTGCATCTCTTCTCACCATTGTTCTTCTTTTCATTTAGAAGCTACAGCCCGACCCGCGGGCGGGAACGGAGTGGAGTGAGCGGGAAATGTGCTCATCACGTTCGCCTCCCACCCGCCCGTTCAGACATCATGGGCGAGCCAGGGGGACGGGAAACATGCTCCTGTTTACTCCCTGTCTGCCGCCAGCCCCGCCATGGACCGCAGCAAACCCCAGCACCGCCACCCCGGCGACGCAGACCCGGGACCACGCGGCTTGGTCCTGTCCACACGGGCTCCCCTCGGCTGCGGCGCCATCGGCGGCTCCCCCACCACAGGGCAGCAGGGCACTGAGTCCCAGCCATCCCCAGACCGACCCGTGGACCAGATTCACGCTGGGGGACTGGGGGGCCCACCCCTACCCGCCGCGCAGTGCGCGCTGCAGATACGCATCTCACCTCCCCAGCCAGGATGGGCCTCGCCTTCAAGGTGTCCCCGCCGCCTCGCCGGTGTCCTTCGTGGAAGGCGCTGGCCACCTCGGGCTCTGCCTTGCGGAGAAGCCCCCGTGGGTTGTGGCCCGCTTGGGAGGATGGGTCAAAGCGGCGCCTTTTCCTCGCAGCGAGGCGGGCAAGGGGAGCGAGCGGGAGATGCTCAGACGCGACCTTCAGCAGCAGCGTGGACCAGATAATGCAGCTTCCCCCTCCTCTTCCTCCTGTGTGCAGCGCTACTGAGCGGCTTCTATCAGAGCTGTGCGCCACGCACCAAATAACCCACCCACCCACCTACAGACCTGCGTGTGTCTGTAGACATCGTATGAAAAACGCGGCCCCTCTAGAGTCCAGCCGGCTTTAGACAGGAGCGAGGGCACCGGCTCCTCTCCCGCTTTGTGCGCACGCCGCTGCGGCTCAGAGGCAGCTACCGCCGCCTCCTGCTAGGTGCTGCGCCCGATCCAAGAGTATCTCCTGCCCCAGGGGCCACGCGAAGAGAGCCGTAGCTGTGTGCTGTCTGAACGGAGAGGCGGCTTTTGTGTCTGTGCTCCCAGACCCCAGGCGGTGTTAATTGGAGCCAGCAGCTGTAGGTCTTAGAGGCAGAGAGAGCCACCCCCACCCCCTCCGGGGGGGGATGATGACACAGGTGGAAACTGCATTATGGGATGATGATGGGAGCAACAGCCGGGCCTCGGAGCGAATTCCGGCTGCCTTTGTCTACCGCTTCAAGGAGTGAGTATATGGGCTAGATCCGTGCTTGTAGGGCTGCGGTTGCAGATGGGCTCTGTGGCTTATCCCAGAGATGTAGCCCACTGTCCTAGCTACAATAGCACCCAGCCATGTTCTGAAAAACAGACAAACCCTTTGTCTGGTTTCCACATCTTGGGACTTAATAATTGTAGCCCTTCCTGCTCCTCTATAGAATTGATCCCACGGTACACCAGCTTTGATACACAGATAAAGGAAATCTCCATGATTCCATCCGTGTTTTTATTGGCTTCTACAAAATAAAAGAATGCGTTGAGTAATAAACTGTAATACTGTTCATATCCAAATGTTCATACTAATTTCTAATACAGAGAAGTGGGAAAGTATGTCATCTGGTTTAATTGACCTAGCTCTTCAGTAAATACTAATTGCAAAATAACATCTTAAGTGAAAGCTATTCTTCCCTATGTTTTTTATGCTTTCTTGCTTTTCTTGAATTTTTGGAGCTGTGACAGTTTTGTTTCAGGGAGAACCCCTTGCTGCAAGAAGAATCTAATTTATATAAAGGTTAGTTTCAAGTCCCCAAAATAGCTACAGAAAATTCAACATGTACTGAAACCAATTCCCCAACTCATTATACCAAACTACATACTAAAAGTTTCCATTTTCTTGAAATGCTAACACATTTAGGAGAAATAATGTGTACATTAAATATACAGCTGGCACGACACTCTTTGATACTTCACAGATGCTCTCTGTAAACTATTGTATCAGCTCATTTCAATCCTTTCTCAGCCTGAAAAATACTTAAGGAATAAAGCAGAAGTAAAATTTCATCACTATTAACAAATGTAGACCCAGATCCTATATTCACTACAAGCATGCATAACTTTAAGCATGTTGTCCCATTGATTTCAGTGGGACCACTCACAGGCTGGAAGTTAAACTTATGTGTAAGTGTTCATATGTAACCCATTCACATTACAGGTCTATCTCCACTGCCTACTGTGCTGTTCCACAGAGGAGCTGAGTTATTACAGCTACAGAGGCTTTGGCTCTTTAGCTCAGGCTATAGCACCTCATGGTTTTAGTTCCGAAGGTCCCCAGTTTAACCCTGCGTGTGTCAGTTAAGATGGTGGCTGTCAAACTTGCAGGACTGTGGCTTTAAAATAATAATATTTTGTATGCATGTAACATTTTTCGTCATTGAGGCCCAAACCGCTTTATATAAATTAAAAATAACACTTACTACTTTACCTTTGCAATGTGCTTTACAAACATTAACTAATTAAGCCTCACAGTATTCTCTGAGGCAGATACATATTATGGTCCGCATTTTACAGATAGGGAAACTGAGGCTAGAGCATAAGTGGCTTGCCCAAAGTCACAAAATAAGGGGCCAGTCTAGTAACCTCACTCACTACTGTGACGACCTGCTGGAATTCCCCTCAACCTCAGCAAGTGAAAATTTTGCTAGTGTTGAGCTATGTGACAACTCCTTGACACACCAACTTGTCTGCCTTACCAGCAAACTCATCAGGACTCTACCAGTCCAAACCTAGCCTTGCGGGTAAGAAATAGTGAACTCTAGCTCCCAAATTCCCTAAAGACATCTCCCTGCAGTGTCCAGCTTCCTTTCTGAACACTGTGAGAAGTTGTTTACTGCTCCTATAAAGAGATAGTAAACAGCAGCTCATTAATGTAATTGTGGTTTGAAAAACATTCTTATTTCAATCACAGCAATGTGTTGGTTATTGTTAAAAGTACAGCAAGCTTATTAATAAAAAGGCATAGATTTAAGTGATACCAAATATAAGGAATAAAGACAGAGTTACAAGCAAACAAAACTAAAAATACATTTCTAATACTAAAACTTAATTTCAGCTAGTTATAATCTCTGACTAAGCAGGTTTTTCAATTATTGTCAATTCCCAGAGACTTCAACCCCTTGGTTGAAGGATCCAAGTAATGTTCTGTGATTTCAGGAGCTCTGGCCTCTTTAGTCCCCAGTGATGGATGCCAAAATGGCCTTTTCTCTCTCCTTCTATCTTCCCAAAATTCATTGACTCTGCTTCAAGAGGCAGGAAGGCTTCCTGAGGGTGCAGTCTTCATCTCCCATTGAGACAGTTAACTTCCCCACTTGTTAGTTTGATGGCTTTGTTTACCTTTTATGTAAATATACCTTCCTTGTTCTCTGGCTGACAACCAGGCTGGACAGACAAGTAAATACACATTCTTCTCTCTAGGACAGACTGGCCTTATGTATTGTTTTCCAAACACATTTTAGAAACATAATTTTAGCACATACTTATAACTCTTTGTATATACCCTGTATATACACCACACAATGATTTGCAGGACCAGTGTGTTACCAGTTTGTATATGATACCTTATATCAGTGGTTCCCAACCTATTCTCTGCCACAGCACACCTTGATATTTTTAATTATTTTGAGGCACACCACCAAATTGTCTGCAAATGAACTCTCCCTCTTATCACCTTGGTTTAAGCTGTTTACTGCTCTTGCCATTCACTATGACAAGTATTTTCAGTCAACTCACATATTCACACATTCACACCAACAAGATGCCAAATTTTATTACATGATGAACAACAAATAATAGAAAAATTGTAGCAATCAAGAAATATAAACTAACGATATTACTATTTATCAAGACTGATATTATCTTTTCATCTTTGAGGCACTTATTTTTTGTATGGCTTTGGAAGTGAGCAACGTCAAATGCCAAACTCCAAGTCTGAGATCCAAGCCTAGCACTGAATTTGAAAGGAGAAGTTGTTCAATTTTGTTGACCTTGTGTGCACTCAACATTACGCTCATGATTTCTATGCATGCTGGTAAAATTAATATTTCTAAGATTGTAGGTGGCTTTTTTGCCTTTGCTACAAGCTCAGTGACCACGCAGCTTGCTTCTAGTGCTTTGTCAGAAACAGTTGCACAGTCTATCGTCAGTCACACTTGCTTTTCATTCTGATCCCTCAAACGCTTAAAAAAAATTATGTCCTTCTTGGCAAGGGATGAATGTTTGCTTGTAAGGTGTCATTTTAACTTACTTGGCACCATGGCATGGTTTGAGAGTTTCTCCCCACACATGAGTCGTTGTGGAAGAGGGTTCCCCTGTGGATGAATATCCATATGGCAGATAGCTGTCACAGATGTGTTGGTTCACCACTTCCACTTTCTTAATTTTATGTTCCGCTTCATCACTACAAGTTCATGTGGAACTGCCAAAATCTTTTTTCTTCAAATATTTGTCAATTTTTGGGTCATAAATTTGAAATTCACTGCTGTAACTTTTGAGATTTGTAAGATTTGAAAAACACACTGACCACCACATGACTCCCATAACATGAAGTTCATTTGAGCGTAGTGTAATCTTGTTGTGTCTTTCACAGGCCACTTTAAATTATATCTCATGAATATTCATGAGCCAATCCAGAAGAAGCTAGTAGGGTTAAAATCAAAACAACCGTGGTGGCTAACGTTAGATCGTGATCTATCTTTTGTGCTAGAATTAACATTTTCAGCAGTGGAAACTAACATTAAAGCTAAATATAAGAATTCTGGACAAAAGCATGCTCAGTGGAGAAAGTGGCACACACTTGAGAATAATATTTTGGGATGACAAGCAATTAATAATTAATAATTTCTTCTCATTCCCAAAATAGTCTTCCCAAGTGTGTATAACTCTCTCCACTGATTTTAAATGCAATATAATTAATTATAATGTCATTCCAGGTCCAGCTCTCTCCAGCTTTTATCTCAAGTCAAATGTAAATATAAAACTTAGGCTTGATTTCTGTCTTTTTTACGTGCAGCATCATCAAAGGCTCAGTGCAGTACATTGCATTCATCAGGGCACATCATCTTTGTTTACTTTTTATCCCTCTTAGCATCGCTTTGGGGAATGGAATGTGACACATGCATAATATTTGAAAGGGGCCTAGTCCCAGAGAGCAAAAGTACAGAATGCAGTCTGGCTCTGACACTGATTAAAATACAAGAGAAATGTTAGTTCTCACATATAGTTTTTCAAAAAATTACATGGCACACTGGTTGGGAAACACTGCCTTACCTGACACATTTTAGATATAGATTATTACAACAGTGTGTTAGGTGTAGTGAGTATGTCAGGCCTGACAAGTTGTTGAAACAGAGTATTGCACCACCAGTAGATCTCTTTATCACAACTACTCCCATGGGTAATGCATGTAGCCCCATTGAAATCTCATGATGAGGGGCCAGGTTCCAAGTCATGGCCAGAACTCCTGACTCAGTCCTGTGCTAAAAGTACCAGACCATGGTCCCTGCCAAAAGCAGATAAGAAAATATTTTTAATTTGCTCTTTTATTTAATTAGACTTTAATCCATATTTCTTTTAAAACTTGAATTGAAAAGAACTTCAAGGAAGTAAGAAATCTACTCAACAAAAACACAAATTACACAGTGCGCACGATCAGATCCAACTAACATTGTGAAGAATAAGAATGCTTTACTTCATTTCTATAACTGAAAACTCAGACATATCAGGTTAGGTATCAGGTTACTGTTTTATATCATTGTGCTACCAAATGTGTAAGTTATGTAGAGAAGGCACTTACAATTTCTAAAAAATTGAGTCTTTAATTTTCAGAGCTATTCTTAGACTCAAGGTGATTAATTTTTATAAAATTTAGTAAAATTCTGTTCATCATATCTTAACAGAGCTGGGCAAAAATAATAATACTTTTTACCAATTAAGACATTTTTCATATGAATTTTTGGCACAAGGCTAACATGTTTTACCCTAGGAGAACAACTTCTTTATAAAACCTCACCTCAGCTTTGCCACAGACTCAGTTCCTTTCATAAGTTCAAGAAAAACTAGGTTATAAATGTCAGAATTCTTCCCATTAACCTTTAAACAACATAATCAGGTATGGAGTTCCAGATACGCATATCCACATGCAAGCCTAGAGATACATAGTATGCTTGTTTGAATGCCTGATCTCATATCATGCCGTAAATAGGGCCTCAGGGTCTCCACTCTATTCTTATTCTACTTAGGGTGGCCAGGTGCCCAGTTTTTGACCGGAAAGTCTGGTCAAAAAGAGGACCTGACAGTGCCCAGTCAGATCTGCCGACTGGACACCCAAAGTCTGGTTACTGTGGGTGGGGGAGGCAGGGAGGCACTGGATCATGACCCGCACCAGCCCCTACTCATCTGGGGCTGCCTTCTACCTACATTGGGTGGCTGCAGCAGCCCTGGCTCCACAACCTGGGAGGGGGTGGAGGGAGGAAAAAAGCGAGTGACTGGGGGAGAGGGGAAGAGGAGCGGCTGGGGCAGGGCCTTGGGGGTAGGGGTGGGACCTTGGGGGAAGAAGCATGATAGGGGCGAGGGCTCAGGGGAAGAGGTAGGGCAAGGGAGGTTCCAGCATTCCTGCTGAAATGTCTAGTTTCTAAATATTACTAAGTTGTCAAACCTAATCCTACTTGATCTCTCGTGTTTTTGACATTGTTAATCATATTCTCCTTGATATTGTGTTAACCTTGTCTTTTGTGACCAAACTTCTCCTGGTTTTCTTACCTTTAGCTCATTCCTTCAGCTTTTCTTTCAATAAGTCCACTTCTCTCCCACTTCCTCTTTGGCCCCACTCTTCTCTCTGTCTATATTCCTTTCCTGTATAATCTCATCCTCAAACGTGGCTTCATTATACTTATGATTCACAAATCTACCTCTCTACTCTAATCCTGTTTCCCCCACTCCAGTTCCATATCTAGGCCTGTCTCTCTCTGACATCTCTTCTTGAATTCCAACCAACCATCAGTTTAAACTTACCTAACTGTAACTGAACTTCTCATCTTTCCTCTGAAACATTCCCTACTCGCCATTCTTTGTCACTAATGAGAACACTCCCATCTTTCCTGTTATTGAACCCTAACCCTAATCTGAGGGTCATCTTTAGATCTGCCCTATTTATATTTTATAAATGTGAGAAACTTAGCATCCAAATTAATTTCAGAGTTACACCCTGAAATATAATTGTTTTCCTCCCAGCTCCTAAAAATTCCTTTTAAAATTGGCTTTCAAAAATTAGCATATCTGTCTATCTTATCTATCTAAAACTATATATGTATAATAAAAACTATACTTTGAAAAATGAAAACATACTTTATAATTCTTTTGTTCATTACGTTATCACAATACGTTGCCTTATTATGTAAGACACTCTCATCTGGAAGATCAATTACATTATCAGAAAATCAACAATACTGACTCTTTAGTTTGAGGTATTGCTCTTCAATATGGAGTATTAAACTAAGGGCTGCCAGAACTGTACTTGCTACACCGATGTTAAAACACTGCTGTTGCTACCAGCATTTTAACAGGGGTTTCTTGACTTTTATATATAAGGGTATTTGATCTAACAGTGGAGTTATAAAAACAGACTTCATGGGGTGGTCTACAGCATGATTTGGCTAGTGTGGTTTTCTGAAAATATCTGCCCACATTCGTCAGGGAACCCATGAACCCTGATAACATCAACTGATTAGGCAAGGATTGGTGGATCCCCAGGGGTGCTTCACCAGTATCAATATGGGCAGGTTAAGGAAGGTACATGACACTCACATCTTTAAGAACACAGGACTGTTCAGAAAGCTTCAAGCAGGGACGTTCTTTTCTGACCAGCAGATTACCACTGGTGATGCTGATATGCCAGTAGTGATTCCAGGGGATCCAGCCTACTTCTGGCTCCCCGGCTCATGAAACCATACACTGGCCACCTTGACAGCAGCAAGGAAAGATTCAACTGCTGGCCAAGCAGGGGCTAAATAACTGTTGAATGTGCTTTTGGTAGATTGGAAGGATGCTGGTGGTGATTACTCACTAGATGGGATCTCAGTGAAAAAAATACTCCAGTGGTTGTTTTCTGAGTAATATGTGTGAGGTTAAGGGTGAAAAGCTGCTGCCAGAGTGGAGTGGTTGTCTGCTGATTTTGAACAGCCAGACATATGGGCCAGTACAAGAGCTCAACGTGAAGCTATGCAGTTGAGGTAGACTTTGAAAGAGCATTTTAATGCTCACTCACAGTAGTGTTCTGTGCTAGACTGTTCCCTGGGCCTGAAGCTTGGGTGCTGCTAGGTATTGTGTAGTGCTTGTTGTACATTTATAACTATGAGTGGGTGTTTTCTCGAACCTATGAGTTTTGTGTTATTCTACATTTATAAGTACTGAGTGTTTTGAGTACTGCTATGCCTTCTGCAAATAGATGGTGTTAACTAATGAAGATCATTTTACTTTTAAAAACATAGAATTTTATTGAGTGGCAAAAAATAGTGCAGAAAAACAATGCAAAAAAAACCAGGCAACGTAATACAAATTTTAAACATAAATTAACGGAATGGGACTTTGAAATTAGAAAGGCAGCAAACATTTCTGTCCATTTCAGTGCACATACATAGTCTGATTGTGGCTACACATATACAACTGTGGCTCTCACAGGTCACTGCATGAGAAGCTGTAATCTTCCATGGTGACCCATCGCATGGAATGGTGGGGGTATTGATGTAGCCCTTGATGCCACATAGAATATTGGGTCTATATGGAGCTGCTACCTTGGAGTTCTCACAGGAGAGCAAAGGATGGGAAGTCTGGGATTTTTGGACCTGTAGAGCAGCCAGGGTCTGCAGCATTTGCGTTTGCTGCCTGAGAAGACCCATTACGTCATGGTGCATCCCCCTCTCTTTTTCCTGGGCCTTTCTCCTGTTTGATCTTTCCCTCTCCATGCTGTCTGCTATGTTGGCACTTCAGGCCCTATGTTTGCAGTCTGATGCAGCACAGGCTTGTAGTTTCTCAGTGAACATGTCCTCCATACTCCTTTTCTTTCTCCTCCTCAGCAGGATTAGACATTCTTCAGGTATAGAGGGGGACCGTTCAAGGCTGTAACAGCAACCGCTGTTAGTAAAAACAGACAGATGTATCATCGGATTTACAGTCACAACAGAAAGATGCACAACACAAGGCGACTTTCTCCTCCCCCTCCTCACTGTTCACAGTAAGAGTCTTTGTCTCAGGCTCTTCCAAGGTATCCATGGTGGTTTGCAGAGTGCTGGTGGGGTGCAGTTTGTTGTAGAAGTGGCAGGTCTGCCTGGCTCAGTTCCTTCACTTTCACACAGCACTACTGCTGATCCCTATTGTATCCCTTTGATTGAATCCCCATGCAATCTTTTTGTAGATGTCTGTGTTTCTATGACTGGTCTGTAGCTCTGCTTGCACAGCCACTTCTCACAGGCCCAGGAGATCCAATACCTCCCACTTACTCCAGGCAGGAGCATGTTTACTACTTGGAGCACATGGTAAATAAGCACCCCGACTTTCACAATAAGCCAAAAATCAAGCTAATCCCATTTTAAAACAAGGCCAAAACAAGACAGTCCCTAAGAACCCCAACACTCTATGTGACTAGATCCCCCGGGCGCGCAGTCTGGGACTGTGGTGGGTCTGCTGTGCACCCCTGACTCTCCTCCCCCCTTGCCCCTGCTTGCCAGGAGCTGATAAAAAAAAAGAAGCAACAAGCTACAAGCCAAAAACTAGCCAACAAGCAACTCACAAGCCAACTAAACCAAAAACAAGCCCAATTTCTGCGTTTTTGTGTGTGCTGGTTTGGCATATCTGGTGTGGAGCTGGCATGGTCGGTTGAGTAGTTGCACACGACAGGGAGAGTTGCTAGGTGTGCTCACCAAGGCGGGCAATCAGAAAAACACATTTCAAAAATGGGGGTAGAGTTTAAAGGAGAGAAGTCTTCTGGTCTCCATGACCCCTGAACAAAGGAGTTTATAAGTGTGACCAGAACAGTCACTGTTTCAAGGAATGGGGCATTGTAGGACAGCAGCTAGATGACTATTAGGGTCCACACAGGTTGCACAGTGTCTACACTTCCAGTGCTTTGACCTGAGTAGATCAACCACAGCTTCCTGCTGTTCGGAGAGGTGGTTTTACAGCATCACTGTGATAGAGCACTTACATCAGCGGGAGACAAATTTTAGCATAGACGCATGCATGAATAGGTCGACGCAAGGCGAATTACATCGACCTAACTTTGTCGGATTCCTCTGAATTTTGGTATACATCAGGCAGGTGCGGACTAGGATTAGTGACCCAAATGTGGTCTCATTTGATTTAGGGGTTGTAGAGATATATGTCCTCTAACCCAAAATAGCCATTTTTCAAAAAAGTTTCTAGGGTTGTTGTTGTAGTTGTTGGTTGTTTTTTAAGCAGAGCTAGACATCAAATTATTGATGTGATATGGGTCAAAATGGTCTCATTCTGTCAAGTTTTGCCCACTAAATCTTTGGGAGATCCAAATGAGAATAGTATTTAAGAACATGCTCACTTCTTTGCTTGTGTAGATGTGCCATCTGGAAGGATTACAGTGCACATGCACCAATAAAGTAAAAAAATGAGAGAGTTTCTATGCAGCCACTTTATGATTGCCTGGGTAGTTCAAGGGAATGTATCAACACCATTACCCCTGGTGAACACCTTGCCATTGATGTTTCTAGTCTGAATCTTTGTGTACCTGTGCAATAAAGATTTTATAGCTCATGTTGCTTTCATCAAGTTGTCTCTGTTATAATATAACATGTTTTTATTTTGTGGGTAGGTTTACTGTGAACACAGCAGATTAGTCAGCAGGTGTTCTAGCCACAGTTTTGTTATTTTGAGTGCAGAGGAATCGGAGAACAGGACTTTGTGTGTGTTAGAGGAACAGGAACTTGAAGAAGGGTTACAGCTGTGGAGGGTATGGGAAATGAGGACAGGTGGTAGGCAAGACTTGCATTTGTTGTTTGTTGCATTTTACTAGCCTCTGCAGAAATGGGATGGACAGGAGAGGGGGAAATAGAGTGGCTAATCCCTGATTTTGGGGCAGATGAATGTGATGTTTCCAAAGGTGCCTCGGATGGAGTTTTGACAGTGCAGGTACTGTGATGGAAAAGGAATGTGTGTGCCCAGTGTTGCCAGTGTGTGGATTTTGAGCGATTCCTGGATCATGAGGTTGCCGAAGTGTGCAGGAGATCAAGGAATACATCATGACATGGGGATTTTGACTACAGGCTGATTTGGGTGCAGAGATGTGGCTTGTGTTGACATCATGCTTTGCCCACTCAGCAGCATCTAAGTGGTGACTTAAAAGGTTGTGATCTACTGAATATTGTGGTGATTCACTTTAATGGAAATGATCTGGGCCTTATTCATGGTGTGCACCTCATACAATATCTGAGAGCAAATTCGGACCACATCAGAGATTTGTGTCCAAGAGCTGCGATAGTTTTCTCTAATTTGTCTGCGCATCTGCATAATTGCTAAAGCAACAATATGAAAACTATTAATAAGTGTTGGAAGAACATTAGTCTGAAGATTGGAGGGTTCATGGCTCCTCAGAAAATGTGTTTCTCAGAAATGGGATGCATCTGTTGGACGGGTCAGATGATCTTTCTCTCAAAAGTAAAACTAAGTGTTTTGGAATAGAAATCCAGCCTTGTCACAAACTCCACCATCCAACCATTATGAAACATGAGCAGGAACACCATTCCACTGTAACATAGTCATCCTTTGCTCCAGGCACTGCATGTGAGTCCAGTTATAGGAGGGAGGGAAGTGAGAGCAATAGAAATGTTTGTATACCAGGGAGCAAAGATTTCAGAGGGATGCATTCCCTGCTTGCGGGGTATGTGTGTGCGTGTGTGGGTGTGGGTGTCTTAATTTGCATAGGCAACCTTAACTGTGCATTTCCTGGTTTTCAGATGTTTGAGTTTTGCTCAACTCAACGTTCTGCAGACATACCACCAAGCCACCTTGACTCTGCACTAACATAGGTTTTTGACACTGAATATGATAAAAAAAAAAGGTAGCCAAGCCAAGAAAACTGGTTCTGCCCCTGTGGACTGATAACTAAGCAACACATCACTTGGTGGGGGACTTTGCTCACCTGATGAAGCTGGTCAGGGGTCACCTGACAAAGGGGACTGGAGGTTATAAAAGAAAGGACTCTCACTGGCTATTCTGTGGAAAGAGCAGAAGGAGAAGCTGGCTACAGAACAGAAAGAGACATTGTATGATTTGGAGGAGAATTTTCACAGGGACAGCAAAAGACACATCTCTGACACCAGGGCTACTCCCTTGCCAAATTTTAAAACCCTGTTCCAAAGCATGGAGGTGCTAGAGTTTCTCAATGAAACAGGTGTAAGAAGTTTTTTAGTTTAGGCAAATGAAGTATTTTCCCCCAACTTGGAAATGGCTGAACTATTTTAGCTGAAACTTTAGGGAAAAAATCAGCCTGAGGCAGAAACCTGGCATGAAAAATTTCATCCTGAACAGTAAAAATTATGCAGTTTTAAGGAACTGAAAATAGAACCATCAAATGGAAACCATGGACAACTTTAACTATACCTATGTCACCTATAATAATGAGAAAAGCATCAAGCATGTAACAGCAATAACAAAATAAGAAAATAAAAACTGGTTTAATCTTTCTAATGGCTGCAAATCTTAAACCCAAAAGATGTACACATGGCTGGATCATACAGCTTTCACTCTAGAAAATTTTATGAAAAATGTACATATATTTAACCAGTATTACCAGAGGTGATGATAAAAACAAAAACAAAACAAAAAAACCCTGACCTTACTCTTACTAAACCTTCTACCAGGAAGATGTAATTGCCATAAATAATTTAAAAGGCCTGGAAGTCAGATATTTCCAACATTATGTAATTATTACAATCCAAGTAATTTTTTTTATGCTGAGTATATAGTTGCTCTCAGTTGTACAGCTGATTGTTTTGCCTACATGTGCGTATGTAGCTTGTACAGACGTAGGAGTTCCACCCTACTTGTTTGTTTTTCATTTTTCCTGGAAGCAGGAATACGTGTTGCCAAAGTTGAATACAGTATTTCTATATCTGTTTACTTTTCTCCTTGATGTACAGCTGTTGTTAAACAGGAACTACTGCTTGTCAGTAATTGGTTAGCTTGTTACAAATACATTAATTAATTGTTACTACTCCCGCTAACAAATTCATGTGATTCATTGTGTCATATTTCAGAATTAGGTAATTAGTTATCTGGAAAAGCAGCAACAATCTAATTTTATACACAGTGCAATAGAAAGAGAACCTGAAGAGAACCTGAAGGAAACCCTGCTAAAGACCTGGTTTTACAGTCCTTTCACAAGCAAAAATGCCTGTATCAGGACTTTCAAGACTGCCCTAAACAGAGAGTTTCTTCACATCTCTCCATCCTCCTGTAATTACCCCTTGGAACTTCCCAAATTTTTCTTAACCCAGTGTTCTTTTCTTTGCTAAGGGCTAGATTGTACCTTTAGGCATAATCCTGAGCAAGGGTGAAGCATAAACTGCACCACCACAAAAGTAGGCATAATTTCCTCCTTGTTTTCTCTTGCTTCAGGGCACCTCATACAATATATGAGAGCAGATCTGGACCACATCAGAGATTTGTATCCAAGAGCTGCAATAGTTTCTCTGATTTGTATATGTGTCTGAATAATTGTGCTGTCCAGTGTGTTAGGCAGGCAGAGGCAAAGTTCCATCCACAACATCTCATCTACCTGCTTGGGAGGGGAGAGTGGCATTTGTGCAGCACCCACTTAGCCCTGTGGGCCCAGACCCAAGATCTAGTGAGCTCACACAGGATTATAAGTGGGGGCTCTTACTCTCTCTTACACTGCTTTGCAAATGTGGAGTCCAAGTTACAATCTAACCTAAATGTTGTCTTTGGGAGAGTAAATTCATATATATATATGCATAAATTTGTCTCTGTGTGTGTATACACACACACACACACACATATATATTTGCATTGATTGACTATATAATCAATAGCTCTAGATAATACTTAGTCCTGCCTTGAGTGCAGGGGACTGGACTAGATGACCTCTCGAGGTCCCTTCCAGTCCTACACTTCCATGATTCTATGATCTATATATGCATTGATTTATATATAGAGAGAAATCAATGCATTCCTGAATATTTATTACTTAATTTGAATATACTGTTTATGATGTTTAACACTTTCACTGACTTTGTCTCTTATAGTACTATCCTAACTTTGGCATTCCTAATCTCAAAGTTATTATGTTACTAACAAAACTGGTTCCAGAACACTGAATTTACTGGGCAATATAAGATTTCAATAATATGCATTTTGCATGTACACTGTTTTGCATCACAGTACATCAGTTATAAAGAAATTCATTCTTGAGATTAAACTATTATTTATTTTCTCCTATATCAGGGACACGGAGTGGATTTAATAAATCACATCAGCACAAAGTTAATTATATTTACACTTGAGTGTCAATATTTTTTGTGACTTAGGAATAGCAAATCTTGCCCTGTGGTTTCCATCCATTTGGATGATTGGAGTCCATATGTTACACAGAATGCCAATTAATACTGTGTGACACAATTCATGCTAGTAACTTGGATTTAGGAGATGTCAACAGATTTTAAGCATGTACTGAATATGACATATTTTTGATGGCACATTCCAGTTTTTCATCCTATATGATGTAAAAATGAATGGTGTGAGAAAAAATATCCTTGTTCTGAAGTTCACTAAGGCAAGTTGCAAAATAAAATCATTGTTTCTCAAAGGGACCCTGCAGACTTCAGAATGGCCTTTTCTGCAATCATGGGACCCTATACTACACTGCAATTTTGAGGCAGTCCTGTTCAAGAGTTGCAGAAAGATGGTAGTTTTCGGGGCTTTTTCCCCTTCAAAATGAACATTCTGTTAGTATACAGGGGAGTTTTCCATACCAGTTTTGGTGTACATTTAATGTAACATGCATTCGGTTTTTCTTTTTTCCAGGAGATAATTATATACTTTTCAGGCAAACATAATGATTTCATTTTTAATAATGATGTGTTATTCCAATAATACTTCTGTGATACAGAATTGTAATAGCTATCAAATATGTTTTGCTTCCAGATCTTTCTTCAAAGCCCAGAGTTAGGGAGACTAGCAACCAAAGTCCTGATGATCCCAATCTAGCCCCAGTTCCACCCACTAATCCTAGTCATAAATCTAAATCTAAATATGATTACTGCATGTGTAGAGAGTTTGCAGATGTCAAATTCATCTGAGAATCAAGTTCTGACAGGAAATGAAAAACAAGAAAATAACCCTGAAGTGGACTCTAATAAGACTAAAATTTGAATTTTTGATCTCTTTTCATTTGATCCTCTTTAATGCTTAATACTGCATGTCAAGACAGTGTCTCCTATGTAAAAGAGAAAGTTAGCTGACAGAAAATGATAGTAAAAGGTTATATAATATTTTTAATCATATAGGAATGAAAAATGAAACTAAATTTAGTGATTATTTTTTCATACTCATACTACTTAATATGATTATACAGAAATTATTAAAATCTGTTCTGAGGTATGAATAGAAATAGCTTAGTTGGCCACTGACTGTGAAGCCAAGCAGTCAGTAAGCACTGCAAGAGGCACTGTAAACATTATTACATCATATGATTCCATTTCACACATAGCACATGTTGAGTTATTCTTTATCAAATTATCCAGCTCCTCAGATCATTGTTGTCTGCATTCATGAAAGATATGGATTGTTAGTCCTGGAGCCTGAGGTTCAGATAGATTGTAAATTCTCTGGGGCAGGGACTCTCTGTGTGTATTTGTACAGCACCAAGCATAATGGTATCCTCATCCATATCTTGGGCTCCTAAGCACCGTGATAATACAAATAAATCATAATAATCATAGTCTTACAGTCTTCCTGACACTATACTGCCATTAAGGCTCATCCCCATTCTGAACACTCAACCTCTAAGAGTGAGAAGATGTTTCTATAAATATATTCATTTTGGTAATCTCAGAAGCAAATGTTCACTGTTAAAGACCATCTTGTGAGAAATTCTTTTACTGGCACAGTTGGTGTAATGTCTGGTAATATTTGTAAGAGCCATTAAAAAATGAAAAGGCAGCTTGTTCTGAGAGGTTAGGTCACCCAGTCCGTGTTAAATGCATTCTATTGATTTAACATGGTTTTCCATGGTTGGTCTGATTTGGCCAGTTGGAAGTTAGGTATCCTGCGTGGATTAGCAGTTTTTTTAACCATGCTGTGATACAACACACACACACACAGACACCACACACAGATCATTTTGGCCTTGCAGGTCATTTGGTAATCATCCAGACATAATTCTGTAATAGTGCTAGGCAGGAGTAGTGGCCATGGAGTAGTGACCCACTACATTCTTTGAGGAAGTGTTCTTCCCCACCCTCACTTTCCCCTGTGGAGTTCTGCAGCAGCTAGCTGAGTACTTGCTAGGCACTGGAGGCAGCACTTGGACCCTTGTTTTATAAAACTTTAACATACATTCCTTACATATGTGTGTATAAGATGACCTGGATAGAAGATGATCCCTAATTTAGGCCCTAGTCCAGCAAACATTTAAACACATGAATTGAAGTCAAAGGACTGCTCACCTGCTTAAAGTTAAGCATGTGCTTACATGCTTTGCTAGTTTGGGGCCTAAGGGTACGTCTTCACTACCCACCGTATCGGTGGGTAGCAATCGATCCCCGAACGTGCTCACAGTCGACTCCGGAACTCCACCAGAGCGAGCGGCGGTAGTGCAGTCGACGGGGGAGCCACGGCCGTCGATCCCGTGCCGTGTGGACCCCAGGTAATTCGATCTAAGATACTTCGACTTCAGCTACGCTATTCGCGTAGCTGAAGTTGCGTACCTTAGATCGACACCCCCCCCCAGTGTAGACCAGCCCTTAGAGTCCAAACCTGATGCAGTTGAAGTCGATGTAAATTTTGCCATTAACTTCAAAGGAGCAGGTTCAAGTATTGGTGACCCTCATATAAACTGAACTCCCCAAAACTTACTATGACAGGTGGTACAGACCCTTTGGGGCTCTCTCATGGTCCTGATATAACCCTATTACAGCTTTGCTAATAAAGAGAGATCTCATCAACGCAGATATTGAGACAGGAGAGCTGTGGAGGAATCTTGGATGGAAGGAGTTTCTCACGTAGCTCAGGGGAGTTGAGAAAGAAGACTGATCCCTTTGGAGCCTGATTCACTTGAGGAGTTTATAAAGCCCTGATCCAAATCTCACTGAATTTGTTGGAGTCTTCAAATTGACTTCAGTGGGCTTTGGCTCAGGTCCAAAGAGAGGGAAGCCTCTAGTGGAGGCGGGACCTTCTGTGCATTTCACCAGGAAGTTAGAGGAGTCTTCTTGGGAAACATGATGAGGAAGCCCTATTCAGTTGATGGTTATTTGCTTGTGTATACACTGTGTTGATTTAAATGGCCACCCCAGAGGGAGGGGTTGTAGTTATTGGGGCTGCTCAATAATGGAGAACACCAAACCCCTAAGGTGCCAGTAGCATTCCAGGTGTACCTCGACTTGGAGACAAGCACTGTATGTGCTTCAGCAGCTAGGTCTTGTAAGAGCTAGTCCTACTGGGTCCAAAGTGACTTCAAGTGAGCAACAGTGGTAAATGTTAGAGTCCCAGGGGCATTCCAGTTGAGAGTCAGGCCTAATGCTGGGGTAACCTCTTAAGCCCAATCTCTATTCAAGCAAATAGAAGCTTGCAGGTTTCCAGGTCAGATTCAGTTACTGTCTCTCACTGGGACCCCTCTGCACTGGTTCCCTCCCTTACTGCTACTTCTCCCCCGAAAAGTCCCACACAGACCTGCACTCAGCTGTAATATCAGTCAGTCACAGCCTGTTTTATACATGACTCTGCATATGGTTCGTGGAGAATCTTTGCTGCCTCCAGATTCCCTGGAGCTCCTGGCTAGGCATGCGGCCCCTGCATCCAGCTTCCCTGCTGCTCCTAGCTAGCTATGCATTTGCTGCATCCCAAAGCATGGCCACTTGCTGGTTCAGGACTGGGGTGACCAGATGTCTCGATTCTATAGGGACAGTCCTGATATTCGGGGCTTTGTCTTATATGGGCACCTATTACCTCCCAGCCCATCCTGATTTTTCACACTTGCTATCTGGTCACCCTGTTCAGGATCTTTCCCATTACCTGCCCAGGGGAAGGAGAAGTACATTGGAGAGGCTGATTGGAGTTGTAGTCCCTAGCATAGCAGATTCATCACCAGGGCATCTGAGAGTCAATTCCTTTGGTCTTGTGATATCTACAACTAAGTGAGGTCGCTCTGGAGCAATGTCTTCACTGCAGAGACTGCACTGGGCTGTTACTTGGGTGTTGCCCCTAACTCCTCTCCTGTCCACACATAAAAACCACTCATAGTGGAGCTTTGAACCACAGTTGCCAACTTTCACGCGGTAAATAAGCACCCCGACTTTCACAATAAGCCAAAAATCAAGCTAATCCCATTTCAAAACAAGGCCAAAACAAGCCAATCCCTAAGAACCCCAACACTCTATGTGACTAGATCCCCCAGTGTGCAATCTGGGACTGTGGTGGGCCTGCTGTTCACCCCTGACTCTATCCCCCCTTTTCCCCTGCTTGTCCCCCCTTGCCCCTGCTTGCCGGGAGCCGATCTAAAAAAAAACAAACAAACAAACAAAAACAAAAAAACAAGCTACAAAGCAAACAAGCTACAAGCCAAAAACTAGCCAACAAGCAACTCACAAGCCAATTAAGCCAAAAACAAGCCCAATTTCTGTTGGGTTTTTTTTGTGGGGGTTTGGCATGTCTGCTTTGAATCTGGGCTAGCTGGCATAGCTGGGAACGTGGGTTATGGTTAGAGCCTGGGTCTGCTTTCATTTGGGCTAATATCCTGCCCATTTTGCAGTGAGGATGTAGGCTGAATCATTTGAGTTCTGATGGTCTCCAGTGCCTTCCCACAGTCCTCCGGGTGCACCCAGAAAGATGGACAAATTCATCCCCAATTCACTGGGAAAGAATCATAGAGCAGTTCAGCTATCTGCAGCACAAAGAACCAAGGGATATGCCCCCAGAAGTCCTAGTGACATCCCTGAGTGAGCACTAGTGAAGAGACAGTATCTCGAGTACTGCTTTGCATTGTGGCTGCTCACACCTGGGATAGGCTAATCCTGGTGCTCAGACCTGTGTGCAGATCACCCAAGTTACCTCTGCTGTGAAGACTTACCCTAAGAAAGAGGTTTATATTTCCTTTTGTTTGCGGTGGAGAAGCCTCCAGTGGTTTGTAGTAGGAGATGGGAGATGGCCACATTTGCTTAGATTTTTCCATCACAGTCAACTGTGCCATTGAGAACAAATATTTACATTGCAATAAAACAAGTTCAGAGTGTAATAATGAAACTTACAATAATGGTATCTGACTTTTAGATCTTTTTAATAATCTATGGCCATTACTTCTTCTCTGTGGAAAGTTTAATGAGAGTAGTATCAGTGTTTTATGGGTTTTTTATTGTCACTTCAGGTAGTACACCTCTACCCCAATATAACGCGACCCAATATAACACGAATTTGGATATAACGCGGTAAAGCAGTGCTCCGGGGGGCGGGGCAGCGCACTCTGGCAGATCAAAGCAAGTTTGATATAACGCGGTTTCACCTATAACACGGTAAGATTTTTTGGCTCCCGAGGACAGCGTTATATCGAGGTAGAAGTGTACTGTAAAATATATGCCATTTTTGAATAAAAATGATCAGAAGTGAAATATGTGTGGTCCAGCTAATGCAAAGATTAGACCATATAGCTACGTTTTAGACTGAAAATGCCTCAGAGTGTAGGCCATCTCCACTTTTGTGTCTTGTAAAGTACTGAGCACGCTTCCAACAACAATTTTAATCAATTTCTAAGGTGACACCAATTAATGATTGGAACATAAGAACTGGCATACTGGGTCAGACCAATGATCTGTCTATCCCAGTCTCCTGTCGCCGACAGTGGCCAGTACCAGAGCTTCAAGGAGAATCTACAAAACAGTACAATTTTGGAGAGCTCCACTCCTGTCTTCCTGTACCTCAAAGCAACACCCTGTAACCCATATATTCATCATTCATATATAATTATGATATATTTCATACAAAGCATGCCATGAAGGATATAATATGAAAGGTCATGATCTGCCGAAACACATTGTTCTGTCAAAATATGTATATCATTAGTGTGTATGAAGTTATGCTTTTTACGATATGGTTTTAGTGAAATATGTTGTAAGTAGGAGAGTCTCCACTACAAGGGTGGTGACCCCTGGCTAGGAGGTTGTTAAATGACTGTTAATGAGCAGGGGAGTTGTTGTGCAAGCACCATACAATAGGGACTGCTCAACTATATGACTCAGTTGCACAAGACCACACCAGGGGGATTTC